CGCTAAAAACGAACTGCTCATAACTAATACAGTCTTTCACCTGCTCACGGGTTATTAGACATCCTTAATGCATCCTCACTCAAAACATTGACATCTCATTGACATCGTATTGACATCTCATTGACATATCATGGACATCTCATTGACATCTCATTGACATCTCATTGACTATGTATCATCGGGAGGAAAGAAAGTCGGCACAAAGAGTGTATGTGGTGCAGACTGTTGGGCAGACCATTGCCTCATCATCACCAAGATCAAACTTCATTTACAACCCAAAAGATGAACACGACAAAGTTGAAAAATTAATTTATGAATGCTCTGGAAGAACGTCTTGAATCTCCAGTTAATCACAATGTCAAATCGGATTGGGCACCACCCAAAGGAATGTTGTATAACACAGCCATCGAGTTTCTGGTACCAAGCTCAAAAAAAAAATAACAACACCACCAGGGCTGGTTCAATGATAACGGTATGGCAATCAAGTAGCTGCTTGAGGAAAAACACCATCTTCCCATCTCCTATCTTAACAACACAAATTCATTTCCAATGAAAGATCCATACAACATCCGTCAATGACGAAGCCATTAATCAGCTCCCCCCCCCCCCCAGGTGCTCATCTATCAATAAGGTAAGATCCTCCTGGCAACATTCAATGAGATGCAACAAGCTATAGGCCTTCTCTTGAGTTACAAATCTCCAGGTAATGACCCCCCTCTCCACTGAAATTGACCAGGAAGATGGCACAGCTCTGACTGAAATGCTTCTCCCGCTGTTCCTACTTAGTGGCAGCAAGAGAGGATACCAAAGGATTTTAATGACATTGTCCACTTGTACAAACGTAAAGGTGTGACAACTACCGTGGTATACCTTTGCTCCACATTGTAGGCATGATACTCCCTAGAATCCTTCTAAACTGTCTCATTTCGCATCTTGAGGTCGGTCTACGCTTAGAAAGTCAATGCTTTCTCGCAAAGAGCGCGGAACTATTGATAACGTGTTTTGGGCCAGACAACTGCAGGAAAAGTGTCAGAAATAAAATTTTGACCTCTTCTCCACTGTCAGCAGAGAGGGTCTCTGGATGCCCCATAAGGCTTTCGACACTGTCAGCAGAGAGGATCTCTGGATGCTCGATAAGGCTTTCGACACTGTCAGTAGAGAATGTCCCTGGATGACCCATAAAGCTTTCGACACTGTCAGTAGAGAATGTCTGGATTCCCCATAAAGCTTTCGACACTGTCAGTAAAGAGAGTCCTTGTATGCCCCATAAAGCTTTCACAAATGTTAGTAGAGAAGGTCTCTGTATGCCACATAAAGCTTTCACTACTGTCAGTAGAAAATGTCTCTGGATGCCCTATAAGGCTTTCGCCACTTTTCGCAGAGAAGGTCTCTGGATGCCCCATAAATTTCCCTTCAATGACCTAACAATTCCACGGCTAGGGTCCGGGAAAAAGGGCGATGTCTCAACCATTCTATGTGTCTAATGGCGTCGAACGAGGTTGCGTCCTGGTATCAACACTGTTAAGCTTCGTGTTCTCCGCCATGCCGTCCGACGCTTGCAGATAGGGAGACATTGGAAGAGGCGTCGGATCTCAAATTGATCGTAAAGGATTTACTCGCAGGAGACTAAGCGTAAAGTTCAAGGTCGGGACAGACATCATCAGAGACGTGGTGTATGCCGACCACTGAGTCATGGCGGATATGCCACGCAGTGTTACTATCTTGTCGGATGCCTGTAAAATGTTGCTCTTACCATTGACTCAAAGAAGACTGAGGTCCCGCACCGACCAACTCCACGAAAACCTCACATCGAGCGAGACATCCAAGCCAATGGCGATAGGCTTAAAGTTGTAAACATATGTTCTTACCTTGCCGGCACACTGTCTCAAAGTGATGAGATGAAACTTCGGATTGCAAAAGCCAGGTTGAACATTCGGAAAAATGTCTAAGAATTAATGGACAAGGAGAGGCATCAGCACCAAAACAAAATATAGGTTTACAAGGCAGCTGTGTTTCAGATGCTACTAAATGCATGTGAAACATAGACAGTCTACCAACGCTATGAGAGGAAACTAAGCCACTTTCACACGATGAGCCTCCGAAAACTCTAAACATCAAATGGTAGGACAAGATGCCAGACCCTAAAGTACTCGTACAAGCAGGTCTGGCAGGACAAGATGCCAGACACCGAGGTACTCGTACAAGCAGGTCTGGCAGAACAAGATCCCAGACACTGAGGTACTCGCACAAGCAGGTCTGGCAAGACAAGATCCCAGACACTGAGGTACTCACAAAAGCAGGTCTGGCAAGACAAGATCCCAGACACTGATGTACTCACACAAGCAGGTCTGGCAGGACAAGATGGCAGACACCGAGGTACAGGCACAAGCAGGTCTGATGGGACAAGATGCCAGACACCGAGGTACTCGCACAAGCAGGTCTCCCGAGCATACACACCCTATTAACGCAGTCTAAGCTTCGCGGGGCGGTCTTTGCTGTGAGAATAACAGACGTCTGCTTGTCCGAACGATATTTTTTGTTGATCTCAAGCAGTGCGGGCGGGCTCTTTGCTGGAGGACCGAATAAACGTTTAAAAATCACACTGAAAACAATTTGAAAGCATTTCACACTGACCCGGAAATGTGGGAACAGTGCTCATAGGATCGAGGATCGGGCGCTCTGCGCGACACAAGGGTTCAATGCAACACGAGGCGAACATAAAAGCTGCTGCTGAACACAGAAGACAGGCCAGAAAAGCCCTAGTTAATTCTGTGCCTGGAGTTGTCCCATCCATAATCCATACCCTGCAACTTCTGCGCCAGAATATTTCGTACCAGAATCGGCCTTTTCAGCCATCTGCGCTCCCACATACAAGGCAACAAGCCAATGTTTAAAATAGTCATAATCGATTTTCGACGGACGAACTACCAATAAATTATGACATTGTCATTATTGATTTATGTGTCCGTGTGCAGGTAAAGAGACCCATATTTTTCTGTTTCCAGCACATAATTATCCACTATGCAGCCCTGGAATCAAATCTTTGTTTTAACGTTTGGATTAGATTAAAGAATACCTATAATTTATATTTTAAAATATATTGTTCGGCAAAGTTATAATTTTATCATATTTTAATTTCAATTCTGTAAATAGGGCACTTTTAAACGAAATTTTAATCTCATAAAAACGATGTCTTAATCATTAAACTAAAAGAAAACAAAGAATTTTTTAATTCAATGGTAGCCCATATGTTGTGAAATTGAAAAAAAGTTAAAGTTTATACATGTTCATTTCTTTAAAATGTAGGCCCTAACTCATATCTGAATTTGTCGCTGAAGAAGATCTTAAGCAGTCGAAAACAATGTTCATTGGAAGCATTCATTGTTTGGGATCCCATGCTTGAGAAACTCCACTCTTACCTAACCTTTTGAAATTAATTTATTTTTAAAATTAATATTTAAAAGAATATAAAACATAAGCAATTTCAATTACTAAACTTAAACCAAGCATTCTATCATTTAATTGAATTCAGTTTATTTTATAATTTCAACCCGTGAACCCAGGATGAAATCACTTTTATCCCGGATTCCCGGAATAGCTAATAAACCATGAAAAACGAGAAATCCTGATTGACTGGTATTGAAAAATGGGCTTAATAATTATTAAAAATGAGACACTGAAAAAAAAAAAAGTAGAAATGTTTTATTTTCACCGGAGGTAAACATACACAGCTTCTTTATGCCATTAACAAGTGGGCGATACTAGAAAATAAACTAACTACGATTTTGATAATTAAAAGAAATAAATCGACGGTGAAAAGTAATAAATAAATAGAAATACATTTTAAAAAAATCCAACCAGATACCAATATAAAAAAAAACAGTTGAAAAAAAAGGATGTTATACACAAAGATTTTATAAAAATGATACATTGCCATTTATTTGGGCACCTGCTTACAAAAAAAAAAAGTGTGTGTCCCGTTGACTAGTATTGCACGAATTATTATTAGTGACGAAAATAAACTTAACTAAAAATAAACTAAATACGATTTTGATAATTAAAAGAAAAAAATCGACGGTGAAAAGTAATAAATAAAAAGAAATACATTTTAAAAAAATCCAACCAGATACCAAAATAAAAAAAAAACAGTTGAAAAAAAAGGATGTTATACACAAAGATTTTATAAAAATGATACATTGCCATTTATTTGGGCACCTGCTTACAAAAAAAAAAAAGTGTGTGTCCCGTTGACTAGTATTGCACGAATTATTATTAGTGACGAAAATAAACTTAACATTCTACACGGCTTTTTAGAATTAATTCATGATTTAATAGTAATAATTAAAAATGTTAAATGTACTAGGTATTCAGTGAGGAGGGTAAAAAAAGTAATCGACATTTTGACTAGAAAAATTGGACTAATAATCGAAGTGGTCCAGATCAAGTTATTGAAAACAAAACACAACATAATCATGGCGACGGCTGGAGTCCTGAGACAAATGTACTTAATATATAGTTCGTTTCAGCTTCTATACTGTGTTTGTATTGCTCAAACGTTGTTTGGTTTGGTGCCCATGGACACTAATTCTTATGTTTCAGTGGGTGGTAGATTATTTTTGCACCCCAAAAAGGACTTGCAAATTAGATTGCTTGGCACTGACCTCACGAATGGAACAGAAATTTTCTTTACCACCCACAATTCCAGTTGCACTGGCGAACGATCATCGCAATTTTACGTTAGCGATACCACTCAAAATAGTGCTGTGTTGAAAATTTATTTTATCCCCCCGTATGAATATCAAGAAAGTTTGTATTTTCATATCTGCATAAAAGACAAAAATCTTGTGCTCGCTCATCAAGGAGTAGATGAATGGTTGACAATTGGTATTGAGCCTTATGAAGAAACAAGTCGTTTTTTCTTGCCTTTGTGGTTACAGATTACTGTGTGCGTTGTACTGTTAATGTTATCTGGACTTTTTAGTGGTCTAAATTTAGGTTTAATGTCGTTAGATCAAACTGAGCTGAAAATAATAGGAAAAGTTGGATCAGAAAAAGAAAAAGCATGGGCGAAACGTATTGGTCCACTTCGTAAACGTGGAAACCTGCTACTTTGTACTCTTTTACTTGGAAATGTAATGGTCAATAGCACATTTACAATTCTATTTGATAATATGACTAATGGCCTAACTGCTGTTATAAGTTCAACAATAGGAATAGTCGTTTTTGGGGAAATTATGCCCCAAGCTATTTGTTCACGACATGGATTAGCAGTTGGGGCCAATACCTACTGGCTTACAGTTTTTTTTATGATTCTTACATTCCCAGCATCCTTTCCTATTTCTTTGATTTTGGACAAAATATTGGGCGAAGAAATGGGGCAAGTGTATAATAAGGAAAAGCTTCAAGAACTCATACGGATGACAGCTGATAGACGAGTCTTGCATGACAATGAGGCAAACATCATTTCTGGTGCTCTTCAATTGACTAATAAAAGTGTTGAAGATATTATGACTAGAGTTGAGGATGTGTACATGCTAGAATCTAACAGAATTTTGGATTTTGATACAATGACGGAAATTATACATCATGGCTACACTCGAGTTCCAGTGTATGATGGGGAGAAAACCAACATTGTCAATTTACTTAATACCAAAGACCTTGCACTTATTGACCCAGATGATAAAACTCCATTGAGTACTGTTTGTAAATTTTATGACCATAAGCCACTTTATGTTGATCATGATGTCAAGCTTGATGCAATGTTGCAAGAATTTTTACAAGGTGAGTAAGCCTTTACTTTACAATATTTAAGTATGTATATAGATTGACTGAACAAATTCATGGTAATTATCACAATGAACTTAAATAAAGATATTTAATTCAATCTCATTTTTATGTTCCGCCATAATCTGTTTCTTTTTGCTGCATATATTAGTAAGATTTAATGTTTTTATTTTGAAAAAAATGATAAATCTATTTTTTATCATAAAATTTGAATCCATCATTTATTACTAACTCTCCCTAATATGTAATTCATATGCTTATAAAAAAACAGGGAAAAGAAAAAAAATTAAAATCTATAAACTGCATAGGATGTAAATAAAGCAAATAACACATTTAAAAAAAAAAGTTCTTTGCTAAACTACATTTTAAATAATTTCTTGTGGCGATAACAATGAATAGTTGTGTCAACAATTATTTTCACAAGAATTTTAACAGTAATGAACATTTATTAAAGACTTAAAAGAATATAATATGATCATTCCATTTTTGACCCACTAACAGTTCAATACATTAAATGGTTTATCTTGTTTAATATGACCCTAGGTGATTCTCATATGGCTATAGTGCAGAAGCTTCACAACAATGAAGATCATGATCCATATTATGAGACGATGGGTGTTGTAACTTTGGAAGATGTTATAGAAGAGATCTTGCAGAGAGAGATTATTGATGAAAAAGACATGATTAGTAAGTCCTTGTGATATTCATTTTAAATATTTTCATTTCCATCACGACTAAGTTAATCTATATTATCTTAGTGACATCCTTCACAAGTTCATCTGTAGTCACTTCGTGGCACAGCATCATATCATGTTTTCTAATATGAAGCTTACTGATATTCAATTATACATGGAGAATGTTTATTGCTTTACATTTATTTATAATTCCAGATAATTTACTCTGGAGATCAGTCATTAAACCTGCTATAAAATTACTCAGAACAGTCATTATGCTTGTTATAAAATTACACTGGACAACAGTCACAATACCTGCTATAAAATTAATTAATCAATACATTTTCCACTGGTATTTTCTGTGTTTATTTTAATCAATGTCATAATCAGAATTTTTACAAATATTTGCAGTGTATATATAAGATGTTATACTCTGAAAATGAATATGTTTCATTGTGAAGAGTAAATGCATGGATACAAAATTTCAGAACTGTCTAACTTGGTAATTACCATCTCTTTTCCAGCTGACAATCGTCAAAAGGCTCCCAGGCCTCGTAAGAGACAAGATTATGAAATACTGGGAGCAGATAGCCTTAGGTCAAAATTACCGAAACAGCTTGCTTTTGTTGCATTCCAATTTTTGACAACTAGTAAGTACATTGGTTTCAGTAGTGAGTACTGGAGAGATATGGAGCATGCATTGCCCCAGAACATTATTTTCGGGAATCAAAGAGAAGGTTGCCCACAACAACCTGTTTTAGTTTTAGTTTGAACATCTTTTGGGAGACATGATTCTTTTCATTTGATGAGACTTTTGTCAACTTGCTTTTATTGGAGAGTTCCTGTGACTTTTCAAGGAAAGTTAATGCAGTGTAGGAAAGTCTATAGCTGACATGGCATGGGGTTTTCCAATTAAAAAAACTCTTGCATCCTAAAATTCTCCAGGCAGAATAAAAGTTGTTAATTCAACTGCGTTGACTGCTACTCCTATGTCAATTTTATTAGCATATTATAACTTGGAACCAGTGCTAGATTTCCAAAAATGAAAAAAAAAAAAAATCTTTACAAATATGAAATAGCTTCAACCTTTCAAAGTAATTAAGACCAAGGGCTGTTCAGAAAATTATTTTTGATAACCCAACACTCCCACTAAAAGTTGGGTTAAAGAAATTAATGCATGAAATACAGTCTATTCTTACTTTATAGTTATACACATATTAATCTTTTTTATTAAGTGTGTAAACCATACCACATGGTGTACTGGGGTCAGTAAACCATACCACATGGTGTACTGGGGTCAGTAAACCATACCACATGGTGTACTGGGGTCAGTAAACCATACCACATGGTGTACTGGGGACAGTAAACCATACCACATGGTGTACTGGGGACAGTAAACCATACCACATGGTGTACTGGGGTCAGTAAACCATACCACATGGTTTACTGGGGTCAGTAAACCATACCACATGGTGTACTGGGGTCAGTAAAACATACCACATGGTGTAAGGGGGTCTCAGCTAAGTGATTAAAATCTTATGAGGCCCAAAAGGGGTGATTTGTAAAACTAGATGCCTGATGCCTAGAGCACTTTGTCTTTGCAAGCGTGTGCTCTGTGATATATATATATATCGATGAGCAAGTTTGCAAATCCCATTCCCCCAGGATGGTAAGGCATATACAGTACATAATGTACAGGACAGATTTTACCTGGGATTTGCCACATGGGCCGGAATATGCTTTCCGGTGCTTGTCCGCTGTGCCCATTATGTACAATAATAGCTATAAAAAAATGACCAGGTCATTTTGGATAATCAGCGTTTTGTATAATTGATATCCTGAACGTTATGCTTTACTTTTCATAAAATTAAAATGTGGAATCACTATAAAGATGAACTATAACATTGTTTTTCTATTTGTTCAGCTGTTGAACCATTTTCGGATGCATATTTAGCCAGGAATGTTCTCATGAACTTGATGAAAAAAGACATCGTTGTGAACCTGACCCCCACAGAGCCGGTCAGTAGCAAGAACTACTTGTATAACAAAGGAGAGGTCACTGACAAATTTGTTCTCATTCTACAAGGTGGGTCGATACTGTTTTTAAAAAAAAGTTGATTATGACATACCTATTGGAGTAGGTTTTCCCCATTCCAGGTGCTTGCACCTGAGCACCCCTTTGGTGGCATGTCAGGGGGAAGTGATTATAAGAGCCAAGAACCCCAGACTTAAAGTTATGGTATAAATATTTATGTATTTTTTTTATTCCTTTGTTAACATTTTACTTTATGAATTAAGTCACACACGTCATTTTTCAATAAGCAACTAGTTTACTTTAATTTTAAAGTTTCTACCATTATTTTTGCCATTCCATGACACTATATTAGATATCCAATGTTGGGCAAAGGGTAAAATGTATTGCTACTTTTAAAGGGGATGCTAGACTTAGTCCAACAATTTGTTAGGGTGTGCAGAATAGAGATAAGGTGGGGGAACCCTACTTTTAAAGGGGATGCTAGACTTAGTCCAACAATTTGTTAGGGTGTGCAGAATAGAGATAAGGTGGGGGAACCCTACTTTTAAAGGGGATGCTAGACTTAGTCCAACAATTTGTTAGGGTGTGCAGAATAGAGATAAGGTGGGGGAACCCTACTTTTAAAGGGGATGCTAGACTTAGTCCAACAATTTGTTAGGGTGTGCAGAATAGAGATAAGGTGGGGGAACCCTACTTTTAAAGGGGATGCTAGACTTAGTCCAACAATTTGTTAGGGTGTGCAGAATAGAGATAAGGTGGGGGAACCCTACTTTTAAAGGGGATGCTAGACTTAGTCCAACAATTTGTTAGGGTGTGCAGAATAGAGATAAGGTGGGGGAACCCTACTTTTAAAGGGGATGCTAGACTTAGTCCAACAATTTGTTAGGGTGTGCAGAATAGAGATAAGGTGGGGGAACCCTACTTTTAAAGGGGATGCTAGACTTAGTCCAACAATTTGTTAGGGTGTGCAGAATAGAGATAAGGTGGGGGAACCCTACTTTTAAAGGGGATGCTAGACTTAGTCCAACAATTTGTTAGGGTGTGCAGAATAGAGATAAGGTGGGGGAACCCTACTTTTAAAGGGGATGCTAGACTTAGTCCAACAATTTGTTAGGGTGTGCAGAATAGAGATAAGGTGGGGGAACCCTACTTTTAAAGGGGATGCTAGACTTAGTCCAACAATTTGTTAGGGTGTGCAGAATAGAGATAAGGTGGGGGAACCCTACTTTTTAAGGTTATAGTTTTAAAAGAACACCTTCAAGTCTGGGCAAAGGGAATTGATTCAAAGCATTAACTGAATGGGTATGGAGAAAAGCAAGCGGCACTTGACTTAGCTGGTGGAGGAAAGCAAGTGGCACTTGACTTAGCTGGTGGAGGAAAGCAAGTGGCACTTGACTTAGCTGGTGGAGGAAAGCAAGTGGCACTTGACTTAGCTGGTGGAGGAAAGCAAGTGGCACTTGACTTAGCTGGTGGAGGAAAGCAAGTGGCACTTGACTTAGCTGGTGCACCCCTATCTGATGATCAGTGATTTCCCAATGAGCCTTCCATCTACATTTGTCTACGCTATTGGTTCAGTTTAAGAATTGGATTAATCCTTAAAACTTACTCTCACTATGGCAGGGAGTTTTTAATCTCACAACCAGAGTTATTCCTCATCTGTTCTTTTATTTTCAATCCATTATAATGGTGTTTGATTGGCTCGTATACTTTGTAACTGGACATTTATCTAAATTTATCCAAGTGTGTTTAACGATAATCAAAACATCTGATTTTCGGTTTTAAAAAGATTATTGCTTGCTATGTTTACTAATTATTAATTGAAGATATGTATTTTGTCTTTTAAACGAAAGTATTAGGTAACATTAAGGATTGAACAAGTTAAGTTTGTTTACCCGTTGCTCCTTAACTAAACAGTTCTTAACAAAGACTAAAATAAAACCAAGGGTGAAGGAAAAAAGGACTATACGAAAGCTCATGAGATTAACAATTTATTTCTGCTATTATTTCTCACACAAAATACAACCTTAACTATACAAACTCAAGCTCTAGGATGTTACAGACTTTAATACAATGTAATGATAAGACAGATTTGAATACAATGTAATGATAAGACAGATTTGAATACAATGTAATGATAAAAACAGATTTTAATACAATGTAATGATAAAAACAGATTTTAATACAATGTAATGATAAAAACAGATTTTAATACAATGTAATGATAAAAACAGATTTTAATACAATGTAATGATAAAAACAGATTTAATACAATGTAATGATAAGACAGATTTTAATACAATGTAATGATAAAAACAGATTTTAATACAATGTAATGATAAAAACAGATTTTAATACAATGTAATGATAAGACAGATTTTAATACAATGTAATGATAAAAACAGATTTTAATACAATGTAATGATAAAAACAGATTTTAATACAATGTAATTATAAAAACAGATTTTAATACAATGTAATGATAAAAACAGATTTTAATACAATGTAATGATAAAAACAGATTTTAATACAATGTAATGATAAAAACAGATTTTAATACAATGTAATGATAAAAACAGATTTTAATACAATGTAATGATAAAGACAGATTTTAATGCAATGTAATGATAAGACAGATTTGAATACAATGTAATGATAAGACAGATTTGAATACAATGTAATGATAAGACAGATTTTAATACAATGTAATGATAAGACAGATTTTAATACAATGTAATGATAAGACAGATTTGAATACAATGTAATGATAAAGACAGATTTGAATACAATGTAATGATAAGACAGATTTTAATAAAATGTAATGATAAGACAGATTTTAATACAATGTAATGATAAGACATATTTGAATACAATGTAATGATAAGACAGATTTTAATACAATGTAATGATAAGACAGATTTTAATACAATGTAATGATAAGACAGATTTTAATACAATGTAATGATAAGACATATTTTAATACAATGTAATGATAAAGACAGATTTTAATACAATGTAATGATAAGACAGATTTTAATACAATGTAATGATAAGACAGATTTTAATACAATGTAATGATAAGACAGATTTTAATACAATGTAATGATAAGACAGATTTTAATACAATGTAATGATAAGACAGATTTTAATACAATGTAATGATAAGACAGATTTTAATACAATGTAATGATAAGACAGATTTTAATACAATGTAACGATAAGACAGATTTTAAGGGGTTAGGCGCCCGAAAATATCTAAAATTTTCAAAAATTGTCCATTTTTTTATTTTTTCATTTTTACAAAGATAAACATTCTTAGAATCGATTACATATCAATTGATACTACTTTTTAAAAGATTTGTTGTGAAACAACTGATATTTAACACCCCTCCCCACTCTAAAAATTGACCTAATTTTGGAAATAAAATAAAATTCATACATATCCCATGTTTGAGACCTCAAAAAACTAGTTTTAAATAACATAATATGCTATTATTATATATCAACGTAAAGGTAAATTCAAGCAGTTTTTTTTATTTTTAGAATCGAAGTCAGTAAATATAATTGCTACAAATAATCGGATCCACAAGCGAAGTGTGTGTAGGATTTTCTTCACTTCTATTTATATAATTATTTTACCGATTTTCATTGGTCCGAACCGAGGGTAACCAAGATACCGTTGACTCGCGCATGCGCAAATGCGTTGTTTATGCGTGTTTACCGGAGCATGGTTCTGAGTTCTGTGTACAGAACGACATTTTGCAAACGAAAGCATCGGCATATTTTGATTTTAAAATACACGTTTACAACCTTACCCATTCGGTAAAAGCCAGAAATTCAAGGTAAGTATACTAAAAAAATGACCTTAATTTAGCAACATGCAATCGGTGATAGTTGAAATTATTCAGTTCGGACGTCAGTACTGTCACTGTGTTGCCTTGATGATTGATCGTGCGTGTGGATTGTTTGTGAGTTTATGTTTAGCTTATGCCTTATGCGGAGAATTACATAAGTTTCTACTATTAGTCTTTATATTTACCAATCAAGTGAATTGTTAAATTATATGAATCCTAAGCCTATTTATTTATAGTTGTCTAACAAAACAACATTGATAAATAATCGAGTAGTTCAAAGTAATAGCATAGGCTAAGACTAAGGCTAGGACTAAAACAACAACGCAATATGCCGTAATACTACTATAATTATGGCATGGTATTAGCATTAGCAGTATGGGGAAAATAATTCGTATTAGAATCTTTTAACTCAAATAGTTTAATCTTAGCCTTATTCATTTTTTTAATCTGCATACAATTATTAATAGTAATAGCTAATTAGTTTTATATTATTCCTTATTTATAAGATCAGTTCAATTGACTAATAATAGTAATTATAATAAAATAAGTATTTAGTTTAGCAATCCTAAACATCTAAATAATACTAATAGGCTTATTGAGATCATTTTCAATATATTATTTGCTAAATAATGTTTATATAATTTTTTAATTCCATTCCAGCCCCCAATTAGTTCTACCGAGCCGAGCAAAAGTAAATTCTTCAGTGACAAGAATTCTACAGAGGGACTGCTAAACATTGATTTCGAAATGATCATAATTCAAAGCTTTTACCAATTTTCTTCTGTCTGCAGTGGAATGGACGAATTGCAGAAGCCATAACTTACAGCTGATTGCAAAACAAAATAGTAAATACTATGAACATAACAATGACTAGATTGTGAGTGGTTAGATTGTTCATATCAACAACTGGATAACCAAGTCATTATCAATTATAGACTCTAAGGCCTGAAGGACAATGGCATGGACTATGAAAAGTTGCAATCTATGATATCTGCGATAAACAATCCAGCTGCACCGCAAAATTTATAACCTGCGCAAAGTATAAAAACTGCGCTATGCCGAAGACATGAAACATTTATGAGCAAGTATCTTCCCAATTATTACATTTCTAATAGACAAATAACTCATTCACCTCTGGTATGAGGGACATCTTTGATGAAAGAAGTACACAGAATAGGTACAAAAGTTTCAACATAGCATTGCTGCCATGAAACTATGCTTTAATGTCAGTG